GCTAATGAACCAAAATATCTGGATAGAGTTGTTGGAAGAAATTGTAATTGATAAAGATTTCCAACTGTAATGTTGAACGAATTTTCCGAACTAATTGAATAATGACAACTTAGTGTCACCTCATCCCTTATGCACTTCGTAAATATGAATATTTATGGGCTATTATTTCTCTAAGGGTTCCAGGGTGTTCTCCAAATTTAGATCGCTAACCCCCTTTGTTGACTTGTTGTATTTATGCTTTCAAAAAATTATGCTGTTGAGGTAATCATGCTAATATTGATAATAATCAATTCAGGGGAATAGACGAGAGACTCGACTGCTGGGGATTTTATCATTCATTCACAGCACCGTATGGAAAGTACTGTTTGGAAAGGTAATCTATTCTGCATACTTCTCTTTGCACTGACTGACACAGATTGGACAAACATACTTAAGTCAGCTTTCAGCATTACATTTCTGCCATCCAGCTGGTGCTTTTTTTTTGCACTGATTTAATTTAACATATGGGAAATAATGATATTAAATAGAGCTGTACATGACCACAGCCGTTAAAATGACCTTTAACCATTAAAGCAATCTCCCAGCTCACAGGATCACTAGTTCATCACACAAGTTTACACAACCATTACTATTCACAAGCATAGTTCAAAAAGCGCTAGACGTTAATTGTGCGTTTTGCCACCGCTTTGCGCTTTACTGACCAAAGCGCATGCTTATGCACAGATTAAGCGCAGTTATGCGCAATGCGTTTTGCCAACGCCTAGAGCCTAGGCGCGCCTTTTTTTAACTATGTTCACAAGATGACAAGTGAATATTCCAGAATAAAATAACATCCATCTAATGCATTCCAGAATAACATAACAAACATCGCATAATTTAGGATGTTGTAAATAGCATGGAAGTCATTTTCAACAATTTATCTCACAAGCATGAGCACCAAACAAGAGCTTGGACGGAGAACCTAACATGAATTGTATTTCCATATTTTGACCGTTTGTGCTGTTTGGGATGTTATTGTTCAGGACAGAAGAATCTTTGGAGTGGTGTTCTCCAAATTTCCATCTTTTGTAGTAGTATGAACCTAATTTTTCTGTGATTTGTAAATGATGTGTACTCTTCAGCAAAGATATAATTCCCAGTTCCTTCAATCCTCCACAACGCAGGCGACCGGACCCTTGCTCTTCAGAGCTATACCCACTGTCTGGGGACGAACCCTGGTCCTAAAATTCCTACACAGGCCCTTTAAAAAATTCCTACACTAGAAGATTTATGATTCTCCCAATTTATACAATTTCCTATCATGTTGTAGCGAATCCATTTATAATACATGATAGTAAATGAGAACGTGTGGTCATATACTCATCACTGGAGTGAGTGCACTTATTGATTGCTTATCCTGATAGGTGCTTTATTTATAGTTTCCAGGTGGCTGACTTGCTTGAGAATTTTATTGTTTCCAGGTGGCTGACTCGCTTGAGAAAGGAACAGAACATGAGGATGAATACATGATTAGTGAGAAGGAGCTTCTTGTTAACCGGTTCGACAAACACTTTTTTAAACTCATAGTATCTCCCTTTGGCTACAAGGCTAAAACAGTGGCTTTGATTTTGTTTGTTCAGGTTCATTTCCGTGCCGAAAGACATGGGGGCATTCAACTGTGGAGCTTTTGTTGCAGGGATTGTAAGGGTGGGAGCTCCAGCTGAAATATCCAGGTCAAACATGTCTTGTTGGATGAACAATGAATGGCTGAACACTTGTTTGAATTTCTTGTAGGGCGTATTGGACAATGCTGGCTTTCCCGCGGTTGTGACGGCGCATTTTGTGCCAATTGAAGGCCAGCAGAGGCCCAGGACAACGATCTTGATTAAATTTGCTCAAGAGGTAACATAGATGAAAGGCAGTAAGATTCTGGGGCCAATGTTTAGCATCGAGCTAACGCTGTTTTTAATAAATTGCTCATTTTCAGGTTATACACCGGGAAGCGAGGCTCGGCTGAAGCTCATGCCATCTATGTACACCTCATTGCGGAAGATTTCTTTTATCCACCGAGTTAATCTCGTATTACGACTTTGTACTAAATCTGCGACACTTATTTTGGGGCGGAGGGAGTATTAGATTTGTTCCTGCTACCTTGTATGGAAGGAGCGTCTCGGAATTCTTGTTTGCACACTCTCAAAACCTGTCTGCCCAGCCATGACGAGTTATGGTGAATCTGGGCAAGATGTACATGTACTGACATGTGCATGAACTGCAAACTCTCATAATGTGAAAGATATGGTTTCGAGAGTACAAAGAAAAGGCAAACAAAACACAAACAGAGCACCAGTTTCAAGCTACAGGTGGATGCAACATTTATGAGCCTCTGTATGCGCTCTATGTAACTCGTGCTCCCTCCGTAAAGAAATATAAGAGCGTCTAGATCATTAAAGTAGTGATCTCAACGCTCGTATATATTTTCCTTTACGGAGGGAGTACACTTGTACTCCTCTTTCCAGATTCGGTTTGTTTGCATATGGAGGAACGGAAACAAGGCAATGCATTGGCCAGATGTGTTGTAGTCATCGGCAAGGGGACGCAGAGAGACATGGCCGGTCAGGTGTTCTTGTCAAAGGCGCCTAAGAGCATCTCCAGCCGTTCGCCCCCAGGGCGCCAGGGCGGCGAAAAAGAGCCGCCTGGGGGCGAACTGGCGCTAGCTTGGCGCGTGGGGGCGACTCCGTTTCTAGTCGTTGCCCCCCAGGTCGCATGAACTCGGCAAAATTTTATTGAAATTTGTAAAAAAAAATAGAACATGCAAATACGCCTACTACTACGCCAAACTACGCCTAGCCACGGCGCCGCATCCACCGCCCGTCATCTACATGCCGAGGTTTGTAGAAACGGGTGTAGTCGTGGCCGCCGTCGCCGCCGTCGTCGTCGTCGTCATCGTCACGCGCCCCGTCGGAGCCGCCGCCGTCCCTGCTGCACCCCTTCCCATGGTCGCCGACGCGTGGTGGGGCGCTGGATGGTCCGGCCTTGTCCTCCTCGTCGTTGTCGAGGACGATGACGCCGCCCTCCTCGCGCCCACGGCGTCGGGCCTAGAGCTTCGCATATGCCAGGCGCTGGCGGCGCACCTGCTCGCGGACGTAGTCCTCCTTCGCCCATTTTAGGGCAGCCTCGTCGTCGGGGGCCACCATGTCGACGTGCTCCGGCTTCACGGGGAGCAGGCCCAGCTCGGGTTTCGGCCGGACTAGGCGGAGGGAGCGCGGGGAGGGGCGGGCACCCTTGTTGATGACGAGGGCGCCGGAGCGGCGTCTCCTCCGGCTCTGGCTTGACGGGGCGGAGAGCCGGCGAACCGGAGGAGAGCGAGTCGGAGCCCGACGACGAGGACGTCCCCGGCTCCAGGAGCTGCCACGGCGGCAAGAGAAGGACGGCCGCGCCGGGTACTCGAGGGGCGACACGTTGCTGGTCTTGATGTGGTTGAGGACGGCCTCGAGGGTGCGGCCTGGCACGCCCCACCACTCATGCCACCTGTCGGCGTTGAGGCGGCCGCGGGGGATGATGCCGTTGACGGAGGCGATCTGCTCTTGGCGGCGGCGCTCGAAGTACATCGTCCACAACGTTTCGCTGTCGGCTGCGTACCTCGGCTCGTTCCACTGCTCCTTCGTCAGGGACGAGCAGATGCGGGCGATCTCGGCTCGCTGTGCCGCCCCTTCGGGCACCGGTGGCACCGGGACGCCGCCGGCGCTAAGCCTTCACGCCCCCGGCACACGCATGTTCGGGGGCGCCGGATACTCGGCCTCGTAGAGGAGGCGCGCCTCCGGCTCTTGGAGATGGCGGCGGCCGAAGCTGTTCGCTGCCGCGCCGTCGCCTGGAAATCTCTCGGCCATTTGCTCTTCGGCGGGAAGGGGTGAGAGTGTTGCTTTGTGCGGCGAACGCGAGGGGATGTGAGTTGTGGCGTTCAGCGGCGGGGAGGTCGCCTAGCCGCAGCGGGGTGGCGAGAGGCTGCATGCCGGGCGACGCGTGGCGGGAGCGGGAGGGACGCGCGTCGCTGGCACCTTCACTGTGCCGCCCGCGAGGCATCAATGGACGTTGACCGGCGCAGCAGCCTTGGCCAGCCTCGGCATTGATTCCCGCGGGAACCGAGGTGATGAGGGCGACGAAGCGGCGTCTCGCTGACTCGTCGGGCCCATCCTCGTTCGTGTCAAAATCGTGTTCCCCGGCACCCCCAGGCGCCCCCAGCTCGCCGGGTTCGGCCTGGGTCTGCCGGCGCCAATTTCGGTCCAAACTGAAAAAAAAGGGGCTCCTGAGGACGCGACTGGGCCGATTTTTGGGCGTCGGCACGAAGAAATCGCTTGGGGGGCCGTGTTAGGAGCGCGGCTGAAGATGCTCTAAGCACGGCACACCCCACTCTCGATAGAGCCGGTGCTAAGACGGCATGCCCTGCCCTGACAAAATCGCAACGTCGATGAAGCACTTTTCCGGTCCTCGGATGTCTCTCTGACTAGAAGGAGGAGCACTTTGCCGGTCCTAGAAGAAGGATGGCTGCTCTCCGTCGTTTGTTGTTGATACGCAGGCGCAGCTGTGACATGGTCTGCAGTGCGCACGCAAGCAGTGACGATGGCCTAATAGATTGAAGTTTGGCTGCGGACTAGCAAATGATTTTCTACTCCTCTAGAGTTCTATATATATTATCGTTGTGTCAAAAAATCGTCGTACATTTACATTTTGAGACAGAGAGTACTATTAATAAGTGCAGGTCATGGCCTCCATCGACCATCATCACGAACGCAAGCAGTGACGATCGACTCATACAGTCGTACGTCGCCTAACAGATTGAAGTTTGACTTTTTGCAAGAAACCCATGCGATAATGTAGACCAGTAGACGGATTCCGACTTACCTATCACCAGTGCCCACCTACCACTTCCTGAAAAGTTGCATTGGACTGCTAGATGAACTGGTATACATAAACACATAGTGCTACATTGCAAACACAGCTCACGTAAAAAGGGACTAGAAGGGATGGCGCCTATGAAGGTGTACGGTTGGGCGGTGTCGCCATGGATGGCCCGGGTCCTCGTCTGCTTGGAGGAGGCCGGCGCCGAGTATGAGATCGTGCCCATGAGCAGGAGCGGCGGCGATCACCGGCAGCCGGACCACCTCGCCAGAAACGTACGTATGTTACTAGCTTCTCCGGATCCGGTTGAGCTACTGCTTATATGATTTTGAGTTATATATACTCAGTCGTTTCGAAGCAAGAATCAAATATTGTCAACTGCGCGCGTTACTTTGCACGGTCAAGGTCAAATATTCCGTCCAACAATTTCGTGTGTGTGCAGCCCTTCGGTGAGATCCCGGTGTTGGAGGATGGCGACTTGACGCTTTACCGTAAGCCATCATGCTTTTTGATTTTTGAGCTATGTTTTTCTAGGTAGCTATTGTACGAAGTAAGAAACTCCCTGGACCTGATGTTATTATGGTGATGCCTGCTAATAATCTCCAAGTCAGGCATAAAAAGTACAGCTAACTATTCTTTTTACACGATTTCATCTAACTAATTTTTCTAGGCATGAATTCATTTATATTAGAGTTAAATAACGTTGTGTCGCTGATGCAATATTTCTTTCCAGAATCTCGTGCCATCGCAAGGTACATTCTTCGTAAGTACAAACCCGAGCTTCTGCGAGCAGGCAACCTCGCCGAGTCGGCGATGGTGGATGTATGGCTCGACGTGGAAGCCCTCCAGCTCGAGCCTATAGTGCGGCCAATTGTGGCTAACTGCATCCTCTACCCGCTCGAAGGGCGCGACTGCGACCAAAAAATCATTGACGAAAAAATCGAAAAGTTGAAGAAGCTGTTGGAGGTCTACGAGTCAAGGTTATCCTGCAGCAAGTATTTGGCCGGGGATTTCATCAGCCTCGCTGACCTTAGCCATTTCTCCTTCATGCGCTACTTCATGGCGACGGAGCATGCAGACCAGCTCAACACTTACCCACACGTCAAGGCATGGTGGGCCGTGTTGCTGGCAAGGCCTTCGGTCAAGAAGGTGATGGCTGGCATGCCTCCCGATTTTGGGTTTGGGAGTGGGAACATACCATAATAAGGCCTTCTTGTGTGTAAGAGTATATTATTGCAATGATTATTTGTTTAGATAAAAATATGGGCATAATTTCAAATCACTTATACAATAAATTTGTCATATACATCAGCAAAGTGCTTACAGTAATCACATCCAATCCTAAAAAAACATATCCAGTAACTAAATTGTCCACATAATGCCAGTTGTATGACTGGTAATACATTATCAATTTCGTCCAATGTTGTTATCATGAATATAGCTACTCACTCCGTTCCAATGAATAAGATGTGCATGTATTTCAAATTTAACTTTAATAATCAATTGAACCAAAAGCGGGTTATTTGTGATAAAAGTTATACGTTGATTTTTTTATGCAAAACAGTTTTCAATGGTATTTTTTTAAATATACCCAAAGACATCTTAGATCTGATAAATATCAAGGAAAAGAATATACATTCCAATGGACAGGTAATTGGATGCAAAATAACCAGTGTTCTTTCTCCAATTGTATGCCGTCCGCTGGAGATTGAAAATTGCGCCGAACCAACAGTAAACTAAAGGGAAACCTACAAATACCCTCACCATGCCAGATTTTAGAGCCCGCAATAATCACTTGCCCCTTGAGACGAGATTTAGAAATCGCTGGAGCAACGTTGGTTGGAGCATCACCTCACACATTACAGGCTTGCAATCCATCACCACCAGTTTAGAGGTTTGGAGAAACCGGGCAATGCCACATAACAACACGGGAAAGGGTGTTGAAGGTGCCGCACCAATAGCCAACCAATAGCTCTTCTTGAAAGACAAACCAACTACCAAGATCTGAAGGGAACAAACTGATCTGGTACACAAACTATCACAGACCCTTTGTCTACGTTGGATCAGACGTTGTCGAGGTAGGCAAAGATTAGAAAGACCTTATTCCAAAACGCCATCACCTCGACCACCTCATTTGTTTTAGGTCACATAACTTATGTTTTGTCGATAAAATTGATGGTCGAAGTTTAAAATTTGAAATACACGTGCATCTTATTCATCGAAATGGACATAGTATGAATGTTATACCCTCCAAAGGCCCATGATCGCTGTACGTTTCATCAACTCTTTTCTCTCTACTCTTATATATTAGATTATTTCACTGCTCGCATCTGAAGTGGTAAGTTCTAATGTCGATCACTGATGTGTATCAGGTATGATAATTTCATATGAATGGTGTGTACCGAAGCAAGGCTTAGAAAACGTAATCATTAAACGTATCAACAACTATGAAGCTAGCTTGGCATCAAGGATGAAGGGTAACATAGAAACACTTGCTCGTGTAACCCTAATACGTATACGACCAATCCACGCATCATCGTATGTGCATCAGCTGGATGTCTCCAAAACGAAGATAGAAAATCTAAAGGGTCCATGCGGCGCAGTAAGTCCATTTGCCACCGGTTACTTAGCAATACCAAGCCGAGAAACAAGGAAGGCCGGCCAATCCATCTCCAAGGGCACTGTTTTCTTACGGCTCATGTTGCACCTGCGCGGCCAACTCACCTGTCACCTCATGCATCACCCCGGTCTTGACATCGGCAGCATAGACATGTCCATGGTTGTCTTTCATGAGCAGTGTGCCACTCGTTTCTCCCAAGTAAGTGTATACCACGCCATGAATCTCCTTCTGCTGGTTCGGATGTTTTAGCCAGAGCACCTGAGGGTTCATATCAATCAACCCCCGTTATCATGCAACCTCCACGTCTTCAGCTGGAGATCGTCCCTTTGCAGTTGGAGCAATGTGAGCCTTCCCTCCTTGTCAGCAGTAAGATATGATTCATCACATTCAGCGCCGCAGAGTTGGATTGAGATATCGGTAAAGAAGACTTCGCATGTCTTGGCGCTCACATCAAGCGTGTAGAAGGTTGAAGATTTCTCAAAGAGCCAGTGTGCCATGCCGCGACACACAACCACATTGTGCTGCTTGAGCGCCTTGGAGGTGATGCCATTGCCGCCCCCCACATAACCGGAGCATGTGTTCCATCTTAGCTCACCGCCTGACGAAAACGTATGGAGATGGTATGACCTTGTGAACTGGCAGATGCTGGGTACTAGCACCTTGAAGAGGGGCGACTGCTGCTCCTGTTCGTCACCGTCATTCGAGCTCGAACAGTCTGTGGGGGTCAGTATGGCATAGCCGGTCTCGTCCAAGTTGACACCAAAGTTATGAATTAGCCAGGGGAGCACATCAAACGTACCAGTTACCAGGTTGCACACGGCGAAGAGTTCTCTGTTGAACACAACAGAGCGGCACGTCAAGGCGCACGAGGAGGAGGCCGTGGCGCGAGACAAGGGGCACCGCGTGGTCGAAGAAGCCAGGATTGTCTAGGTCGGGGAAGAAGGAGTTCAGAGATCGGCATTGAGAGCCCCAGACCGGTCGTGGCGCTGGGACCCTCTACGGGGCCGTCGCTGGACGAAACAGCCTCGGAAAGGGGCCGAGCGGCACGCGTCCTCCGGCAGGCAGCGGCGGAGGAAGGAGGGGTCGGCCAATACGAGGCTGCGCCACCCCTTGCACGCCGTGGCGCAGCGGAAGAGAGTGGCCACGTCCTTGACGCGTTCGAGGATCCGGAGGACCACGTCGTACGGGAGGGACGCCGCCGCCGCCTCGGCCATGTTTCTTTCGATCCGTGTGCGATTGGAGGCCGAGCAGGAGCAGCAGATCGATCGGGACTCCTAGTGTGCTAACTGCCGCCCGGGTACATCGTCTATGTCCAACACGAGTTGATGTTTTTTTTTTTAGAAAGTCACGAGTTGGACTTTTCTTCCTTTCGATTCTTTTTTTCCCATTATTATTTCCAAACTCCTTTTCTTTTCGTTTCTATTTAGGATTAAAATATCGAAAAAAAGGTCAAACCGTGTATCTCCTTTTTGCGCTGGCCGGAGACGGGCGCATGCACGTACTATGATCGTATTTGCACGCTTGAGTTAAGTTAGATGACCATAAAATCGTATTTTTAAAGTTCTAATATCAAACTGAACATACAACGCAAGTTCTATGACTTTGGGTGATATTACCTCTAAACTGAACTAGTAGAAATGCAATTAAATAACTGTTTTGAATCAAGACTGAACCAAGACAGGGCAGCTATATTTAGCACTTATGCTAGTTCACCATGGAAGTATCCTTCTCCTATTGCAGAATCCCCGGCTAGAATACCAGAAAAACTGAAGTCCAAGATCAATTAGCGCAGCTCTGTTGAGGAGCGACGGATCACGGATACATCCTGGTCACACAAGCTCTCTCCCTATTGTTCCTCTTTTACCACCCCTTCCCAGCCGAAGACTATATGCCTGTGGTGTGCTAGCGCTATACATCCAAATTTGCAAACCCTTCTAGTGAAATCAATAAAGATCATTCATATACGTAGAAGATAAATCAGCAGCGAGCCTACATGAACTAATAATATGCATAGGCATATAAAATTATATTTCTTTGACCTATCAATGAAGAAGACGGAAATAGGCATTATTCAAGATCAGTAGATCTCTTAGGCATTCAAGAACAAAACACGCAACAAATATTCAATCACGACCTAGGCAGACAACTCCAGAATTTATATGGAAAATAAAATAAAATATACCACTTCAAAACTTAACTATTGGGAGGAATGAAAAATATTACTTAACTTCTGTACTGACAGTGAAGAAAAGGAATATCCAGTTGCACAATAAGATCAGAAGTTCTTGATGATCCACACTTAAAGATGGACTTGCAAACATTTTATAGGAAATATGTACTCTGACTAATTTTAGCCTAAATATGTCAGTTCTGAGCATGGACATCTATTTCTCTACTTTTTTAATGTTGTAAACATTGAATATGTTAACAAAGTGAAGTGACAACTATGATGGCTAATTAACCAGTATGCTAATCTACTTAGTTAACGCGGGAAAATAAACAAATGCTGATTTTTTTTTACTTTATTCCACGAGGAAACTCTTCACCTGTCGAAGTTGTCGGGTTCCTCTAAACAAGACGTGAAGTCTCAAGAAGTTGTAATAAGAGTTTTGCTGACCAGACAAAAGAAGTTGTAATAGCAATGCTAATTAATTAACCATTATGCTCAAAGAAAACCTGATGCAGAAAAATAGCCTGATAATCTTGACCAGAAGTAATCGCTATCTCAAGATTAGCTAATCAACTTAGTTAAATAACGCAGTGAAATAATCAAACATGCCTGTCATTCTCACATGTGCAGCAAGCGCACGTACAAGCAACGTATATCTCACTTGCACAAGAATATTATACCAGAAGTACTTTACCGCTACGCAGAAGTCTCTTTCTACTCACTACTTCGTGCAAGCACCGTATCTCATTATCCCCTATACTTAAATACGTACATGTAACTATATATGCCACCTAGTTCTGTTTGTTAAGCCAAAGCAAACCACACATACTGCACACCACAGGTAGTTGCTAGGAATACACACATCCTCTGATCAACATGACCATCCCACCAAAGCCTTTGCTCTTTGCCCTCCTCGGTTGCCTCTGCTTCTGCAGTTCAGTCCTAGCAGCTCGTGAGCTCGGTGATGACTTATCAATCACGGCGAGACACGAGAGCTGGATGTTACAATACGGCCGTGTGTACAAGGATGCCACAGAGAAGGCTCAACGGCTTAAGGTGTTCAAGGCCAATGTCGGGTTCATTGAGTCCTTCAATGCCAAGAACCACAAGTTCTATTTGGGAGTCAATCAGTTCGCTGACCTCACCAACGAGGAGTTTAAGACGACAAAGGCTAACAAGGGATACAAATCTAGATTCGAGAGGGCTCCCACGGGATTCAGGTATGAAAATGTGAGTTTGGATGCACTCCCCGCAACAGTAGACTGGAGGACCAAGGGTGCGGTCACTCCCATCAAAGATCAAGGCCAATGTGGTAAGTGCATGCTTGTGAATATCTCTCTCCGTATTTTGCGTGAAAAAATTATGCAACAATGTATCCCATACAATACAATCATTTGTAGGTTGTTGTTGGGCATTTTCTGCCGTTGCTGCAACTGAGGGCATCGTCAAGCTGAAAACTGGCAAGCTTATCTCTTTATCGGAACAAGAGTTGGTAGACTGTGATGTCCACGGTGTGGATCAGGGCTGTGAGGGCGGGCTCATGGATGATGCCTTCAAGTTCATCATTTCAAACGGTGGCCTGACCGGTGAGTCCAGCTACCCATATACAGCAGAAGATGGCAAATGCAAGAGTGGATCCAAAGATGCCGCCACCATCAAGAGTTACGAGGATGTACCAGCCAACAATGAAGGTGCCCTCATGGCGGCTGTCGCGAACCAACCTATTTCAGTAGCCGTCGATGGTGGTGACATGACGTTCCAATTTTACAAAGGTGGAGTGATGACTGGTTCTTGCGGCACTGACCTAGACCATGGTATTGCAGCTATTGGCTATGGAAAGACGACTAATGGCACAAAATATTGGTTGTTGAAGAATTCGTGGGGGACAACATGGGGTGAGAATGGGTATTTAAGAATGGAGAAGGATATTTCCGACAAGAGAGGCATGTGTGGTCTTGCCATGGAGCCTTCCTACCCTACTGAGTAGTAAAAACATCAAATGCCACATCTCCACCTACATACACAAGATTAAATAAACATGTGCACCTTCTTTAGGGATACCGGTATATGTCTTCAATTTGTGTAAAAATATATGTCCTTATTGTATTGCAAATGTATGCATCATCAATACCGTGTAAATATGTTCAGCATGTAAATGATGGTTATGATTTATCTTTACGTGTTTTATTTGATTTTATGTTGCTACATTTGATTTACGTTACGTACACTACCTTGATAACAAGATGTTTTCTTTTTCTTTCACCTCCGCCCTACCAAACTTCCATGGTGGGCTCAAGCTCGACTCGACGATGCCATCGAACAACATTATTGCCAAGTCTACTGTGACGAGGACCAAGGGAAGCACACACGGAGGTGGAGGGGGTCGTAGCTAGCTGCGGACGAGCGGTAGGTACCAAGCCCCCGCCGCCGATGTCCTTCTCGGACTCGAGCCCAGCCGTCACGGGTGAGCACGGAACCCAAAAGCACGTCAATGGTCCGTCTGAGGGGGCAGACGCCCACACAGTTACAGTAGAGGCGGCAGCGTGGGTGTGTCGGCGAGAGAGAGCGAGGGAGGCGTCGGCCGGCCACCGCACAGCCGAGGAAGTCGATGCCACCGTGTCCGGCCTGTGCAAACGCCATGACGACGACCTCCTCAAGCCATGCCTTCCACACGGGGAACCGAATGCTGCAACCGAGTTTCCACTTTCCATGCTCGTGTGTGCGTGCAGTCTGAACTGAACCGAAACGAGCACGCACCTTTTTTACTTCGAAATTAACCAAGGTCGGTCGCCATTGGATTGGATCGGATTGGGGTAAAGGTTTGACCTCCAAGCTATATGTAGTACGAGTGGTAGCTAGCTGCGGACGCACGAAGCCGCGCGCCGCTGATGGCCTTCTCGACCCCGGCCGTCGCGGGTGAGCATGGAGCCCAAGAGCGCGTCGACGGCCAGCCCTTGGCCACGCTGAGGGAGACGGCGTGGGAGCGGACGCCGACGAGACCCGCAGCACGGCGACGATCGATGACGATCGTGCCCGGCGGCAGCGTGGGCGTGGCGTGTCGCCGAGAGACAGCCGACCAAGATCGTCGCCGGGGTAAAGGTTTGACCTTTTCTTTATTAGCGGGTGCGTGCGCACGGCCGGGGTAAAGGTCGCCGCAGCACGGCGACCTTTGACCTGCTCCTGCATGCGCGCACTGCAGTCTAAAGTTAAACTACTCTGAAAAATCAAGGTTTCTTCTCTTTTCGTCTCACGCAGCCGCCATTGGGGTTGGGGTTGGGTGTGCGCAAAAGATCTCACCTTTTTTACGTACGGTGGCCGGAGACAGCTCCTCCTCCACGTCCCACCCAAAGTTCTCACCGCCGGCCAGCCAGTGTCAGGGATGTGCCTCCGCCCTTTCCAAGTGGACTCGCCTAGCTACGTGCCCAGCATCACGTACAACGGCCATCCCTCACTCCCTCCCTCAAGTGAGCGTTGCCGTACGTGCACACGCACACGCACACGCACACGCCATGGAGAGACGCATTATTTTTTGGAGGTGCTGCTTGGTACGCGGCGGATCGGAGCCTCGGTCTATGGTAATTTGTCTCTGGTGGGCGCCGCGGTGGCGGGTCATCGGCGCTTTGCCGAGCTGCCGTGGTTGGCATTTGCTTTTTCTTCTTTTTCTTAGTGTGTTGTGCTGCTCGCCACAGCGTTATCTGTACTCGGTGTTGGTTGCTTTGGAATATAAAGCGGGGGAAACCCTTTTTCGATAAACGCTTGAAATCTCAAATTAAGGACTCGCACCTAAAAAAAACCCTCATTAAGGACTAAAAAAGTTGCTAAAAAAATCCTCCAAAAAAATACCCATTAAGAAATCACTGACTCACGTACGCCATCGTCATGTCTGCTTGAAATGCTCGAATCACTAATTAAGGAATTAAAAGTATCTCTTGCAAAAGTTACTCTTCATCTAATCTCATACGGACAAATGGCACATTGCATATGCGCAACTTGTTGCAAAGTGACAATTTTCATCTTTTTTTCTCTTCGTACATTCATTTTCGATACAGTTTATCTTTTGAACCGTGTGTCCAAATCTTGAACCAATTTCACTGTTGAATTTCTCTCGCCGAGATCTTGGAAACTAGATATCGTACTAATAGGCTTTGACGACCTTCTTTTATGAAAAAAAGCAGGAATAAAGATACGAAACCCAAAAGATGGTAATAAAAAAATCAAAACTGGGAAAAATGTCGAAAACTGGAAAAGAAAACCGAAACAGAAAATGGAACCCAGAGGCACAATTGTGTTTTTCGCGGAACCACATGCTATGCATTTCCATTTTCAGGAAGCGTAGTTGTGCTTCTCGTAGAAGCACATTATGTGGTTTTCTCTTTTTCCCGAGGAAGCACAACTGTGCTTTTCTCTTTTCGGGAAATACAGTTTGTGCTTTTCATGGAAGCAAAACTATGCATCTCGCAGAAGCACATATTATGCTTTTCTTTTTTCGGGAAGCACATTTGTGCTTTCTCGCGGAAGCACGAGTTGAGCTTCTCCTGGAAGAAAGGATGTGCTTCTCACGGAAGGAAGATTGTGCTTCTCACAGAAGCACATGCATGATGTGATTTTCCTTTTTCATGTTCTCTGCAGAAGGAAAACATTGCTTCCTGAGAAAACATTTTTTTCCACAAAAATATAGAGAAAACCAAGTAAAAATCAAACATCCAAGAAATATAAAATAAAAACCAAAAGCGCATGCAGCAAAAAAAAATCATGAGGGTGCACTAGGTCGCGACACGTGGAGGTGGCTGGACGCACCATGGCATGCTCCAGACCGAGAAAGTGAACTTTGCGGGGGGGCATCGAAAGGGTATCTAGCAAATCCAATATATTCCCCAAATCTGGTATTTTAAAATTTTCACCGTGAATGGAATTTTTCTAGGAAATACCAATGATTGCTTAGAATTACTTTGAGATTGACTTTGCATTGTTTGATTGTTTGTCTAGAATCATGAAAAATCCAAATGCAACTAGTTGGAAACCCTAGCAAGTCTTGGTAGGAACCCAAGCCATTTTGAAAATATTATTTGGGCAAACGTATTTTCAATAAGCCCCAAATAATATTCAAAGCGAAATTAAATTCCCAAGAATTGAGATGGATTCATTTGAGTCAATTCAGAACCAACGGAAACGGAATTGTTCAAAAATGGTTTTACATTTTATTTGGCATGAAGATGAATTCCACAAGTCCAAATAATATCCTTGACCCTCTGCCAAATTTATAAAATGAATCTGAAACACTTCGGTTTCAAAACAAAAATTCAAATTCAAAAAGGAAAATATAAGTTGCAGAATTTATATATCCATTTTGTCCAAACAAAAAGTTCAAGCATTCCTTTTGGAATTTAGAAAATGTTCTCTGTTTGAAGAAAAAGCAAATTTAAATTCTATTTGAATTTACAAAACAGACAAAAAAGAAAAAAAATGAGAAAATAGAAACAGAAAATAAAAGAACAAAAAAAAGAGCCAACGGCCCAGCCAGCCAGGTCAGCCCAGCCAGCCCTGCGCCCCTCTCTGCCCTCTCACTCCCACTGACCACCCGGGCCAGCGCTTCAGCTTCAACCTCGCGCCAACCGCTCGCCCACCTCGTCCACCCGAACACCCACATTGCCACCACCCCACGTTTCGCGCGGCCATCGTGCGATCTAGCCTTAGCCACCGCGCACATAAATACCCCATGCCCCACTCTTCATTCTGCCCCAATCAATTCAACACGAGGCCATCAGGCTACTCCGCCGCGACTACATTGCCACCGCCTCTGCCCTAGCTCGCCGCCGGCCTGTTCCGACGAGTTGAGCCATTCCCGAGACCGACCAGTGGCGCCGCTCGAACCATCGCACTCTGGCGCCCCGTGGACGCTGTTGGGTCCATATTTTACACATCTTTATAGCTCATTTGTTATACATTATCTCTGCATATCATGTTCCATTGAGCGAATTATATGTCCATATGCAGGATTTCTAGTTTTTATCCTTTTCACCACGAGCATTGCATAATCTTTATTCTTTGTTAGTTTTTATTAGTTTTCTTTGTCTTTGTGTGTCTTGTAGGTGAGATGGACTTCCCAAGTACTTAGCACGATGAAAGGAGTTCAAACGGTGGACATCCAGGATCCAAACTAAGCCATTTAGAAGGTGGAAAAGTCATTTTTTTTTCAAAGTACTCCAAATGAAGATCTAAAACCAGAAATGGATCGGCGTCGTTCATACGAATGCAACGAGTCCAAGAATATCAAATTCGGAGTTCGTATGAAGAAATGGCGACCGTTTTACCGGAGGAGGACATGCCAAAAGACAGCGCACGGTTGTTTCGGCGGACGTTTGACATGCAGAAAACTCCGAAAATTGGCTTCCAGATGGGATTCTTTACCGATTTCATACCCAATTATTCCCACGGGATCCTTGGCTCTTAATGACGGGATTGAGAGAGGATAAGGCTCATCGATCTAGAGGCCTTGCATCAAAGGAGATAAGCCATCAAGGGAGGAGGCTATGGGAGAGCTATTATATAACCACCTCCAACCCTAGCCGTCGCCATCACGTCTCATTCATCGTATCATCTCCAAGTCCAGCCACCATCCACCCGAAGAACAACATTGTCGCATCCTTGAAGGAGACCGGAAGGGAGCCGCCACAGTGGGGGCTGGCCATGGGCCGCCACCATCACTACTAGGGAAAAGGCTAGCAGCAGCGCGGGTTTTAGATGTATTAGTAGCGCGGGGATCGGCGCTACTAATAAGGCGCTACAGCTAACAGATAGCAGTAGCGCGTGCTCACCGGCGCTACTGCTACACAAGTGTAGCAGCAGCGCTGTTAGCGGAAGCTCGCTACTGCTAGTAGCTCTAGCGCGCTTTGCATTGACGTGCTACCGCTATCGCGGCGCTGCTGCTAACTTTTATACACTCGCTACTGCTAATTTAAGTAGTTTTTTTTGTTTTTTTTGGCATAT